TTTATGTACTGTTGGAAAGACTAGTTCAAAATTAGCGTAGAACTAGACTTTTTGCCGGCAGTACTAGTTCTAGCTCAATACCCAAACAATGCATTCAACTGTTCAGTTTTACACGGCGATGTCATTGACGGTGGAAATTGTCGCCCAGTGTATTACTTTGAAACTTGGACAGTTTTCGGTTTTCGTTTACAGATTCCATGTTTCTTACATATTTTATAAAAAAAAAAATAAAAAATATTGTAAGCGGCGACAGTATGGATATCTGCGTATAATTTGTTAGGGTGATTTTTTATTTATATAGGGCTAAAACCACCTCGTTAAATACGCCTAGCATATATTCTATGTTTTTGATTCAGAATACACGTCTAGATTCGGCTGGCTTATTACACCACACCAAAATCGAATAGGATCCATTTGAACTCTTACATATTCTAATGGGAATTTATGGGGTGAAATAAGCTAATCGACACAGGCAGAGATGGGTTACCAGCAGTGTTGCCGCGAAGCTTTTTAGTGGTAGCCAAATTCCTTTAAAAAAAGGGCTAAAAAAAGAGCTAAAAAAAAGTCATTGTGGCTAAAAATGGTAGCTAAAATTGTTTACTTACATCATCATATATACATATATAAACATTTTCAATAAGTATTGGTATAGAAAAACAATGAACCCTGGAAAAAAGATAATATTTTATCCAACCAGAAACCTTTTCGTATAAAAGGGGATATATAAGACACCATCAAGCTCGAAGCATATAACTTAACAGCATGCTTGTACAATATTTATTTATTTACAAATGAGGTCGAGGAAAGACCGAAATTATTTGAGCCGAAATTTCGTAATTTTTCCACCACTTTGTTGAACATTGTTTTTTTTTTTTTAATTCACAACTGCAATATCGTGAACTTAATATTCCACAAACACGGCTTTAAAATTTCCGCCAAAATTTGTTTACTTCGAAAATTTAGCTAATTTCACCACTCACGACACCAGCACGCTGGTACAATCATAAAATTTTCAAATAGTTTTTGAAGTCGCACCAGTAGCTGGTACAATCACACCACAAGAACATACACGGTCAATCGACTTGATGGGCCATTTAACTAATGAAGCATATTAGGGTCCAGTTTTTCAGTGCACGGCCGTGGTTCAAACTAAGTTTAAACGCCCTATCTGGCTGGTTTAAACTAAGATCAGCCAATCAAGTGTCAGCCAGCTGTTCAATTCAAACCCAGTTTACTTAATCTGAGTTTAAACTGGCACTGAAGAACTGGCACTAAGGGCCGTAAACTTATCTATTTTAAACTATAGTTAAATCGTTAATAGATAACTTAAAAAACAGCCCTAACACTTATACAGTATGTATGTATAAAAACGTAAGGAACATAAAATACATATATGCCAATCTTTCTTAGTTTAAAAATTCATCTCTTATATATATGCAAAAAAAAATAGATAAAATTAAGCATATACAACTTTTTCATTCACAGTATGAATAAATTCTCCAAAGGGCTAGGGGCAATTTTAAATTTATGTGGCCAAAAAAAGTATGTGGTAGCTAAATCTNTTTACAAATGAGGTCCAGGAAAGATCGAAATTATTTGAGCCGAAATTTCGTAATTTTTCCACCCCTTTGTTGAACATTGTTTTTTTTTTTTAATTCACAACTGCAATATCGTGAACTTAATATTCCACAAACACGGCTTTAAAATTTCCGCCAAAATTTGTTTACTTCGAAAATTTAGCTAATTTCACCACTCACGACACCAGCACGCTGGTACAATCATAAAATTTTCAAATAGTTTTTGAAGTCGCACCAGTAGCTGGTACAATCACACCACAAGAACATACACGGTCAATCGACTTGATGGGCCATTTAACTAATGAAGCATATTAGGGTCCAGTTTTTCAGTGCACGGCCGTGGTTCAAACTAAGTTTAAACGCCCTATCTGGCTGGTTTAAACTAAGATCAGCCAATCAAGTGTCAGCCAGCTGTTCAATTCAAACCCAGTTTACTTAATCTGAGTTTAAACTGGCACTGAAGAACTGGCACTAAGGGCCGTAAACTTATCTATTTTAAACTATAGTTAAATCGTTAATAGATAACTTAAAAAACAGCCCTAACACTTATACAGTATGTATGTATAAAAACGTAAGGAACATAAAATACATATATGCCAATCTTTCTTAGTTTAAAAATTCATCTCTTATATATATGCAAAAAAAAATAGATAAAATTAAGCATATACAACTTTTTCATTCACAGTATGAATAAATTCTCCAAAGGGCTAGGGGCAATTTTAAATTTATGTGGCCAAAAAAAGTATGTGGTAGCTAAATCTAGACACCAAAGGTCTAAAACGGCAACACTGGTTACCAGTCGCGTATATGGAACGCGATTTATTTAAGTTTACTCTAATAGAGTTTAACTGGTGAAATGAGCTACACGCGCGCAAACAACATAGAACTTGACGAAGTAGCATGTTTGCCCGCACATGCACATTACCACAAATTTTTGTATACCGTGTATGTACACACAGCTACACAGCGTTACACTTCACTACGATCGTAGATTTGCTACGATTTTTTATGAAAATTAGAAATTTACAACGCTACTCCACTTTACCCACGATCCGTTTCGGTTTTTTTTTACCGAATAATAGAGCACTTATTGCAGTATCTGAACTCAAAAAATTCTTAGGACTGTTTTTTCAAGTAGCTTTTAAAATGTATGTGGCTTTCAAATACATTTTTCGTTAAAGAATACTACAGTTGCTTTTAATAGATGAGGTCAAAGAGTGATTGGCTTCCAATTAAAAAAGAGATTTATAAGGCCGTGAGATAGTTTTCAAATGTTCCTTTTTTGAGATATTGGTTTTTGGTTTTGGTTTTGTGCTTCATTTGTTCAAGGACTCCCTGAAATTATCCGACGAATAATTTTTTTAACCGCTTCAGTGCTAGTAAAAAGAAGTGAACTAATGTTCACCAAAAAAACAAGAGCTTAGAATGTTATACAAGAAATATGGAAAATTATTACGTTTCTATTCCATTATAGATGCTAAAATGTTTTTAACTAAAAAGGCAAATTATGACGAGCCAATATAGTATGTATATAAAAATATCTACTACGAAATTTCAATTTCTGCTACGCTTTTTCACCTCATTTACTACGGTTCAGGCTTGTGGTCATTCTAACCCTGTAGGTACATAACCGATACTTCCTATTCAGGGTTACCAAACATCAATTTCGGACATTTTGGTATAACGCGGTATTACACACCAAGCGATGAAATATTTTACAAGTGTTTGACGCATATATCTAAAATAACTTTGAAAATAAAATGCAAATGTCTAAAACAAGAAACAAATGTGAAGCCCATTCCCTTAAGATAAGCTTTTTTCATAAACATGTTCTTCGTGGATTTTAAATTGACAACGAAGGTGGAGAACATTGGGTAACGAAGGCTCCGTTTCGCTGGAGGGTGGGAAAAATATCGAGTCGAAGACCACCCTCTTTCACTTTTCATTATGGAAGGTGAGGCAAGAGATTCGTGTTCCAATTATTTAAAATTTTTTACCCAAGCCCAATGATAAAATTGCCGTTAACCGTTCTTCCATGATGTGTAAGAACTTCATAGCTATACCGATTACCAGTAGCTCACTAGAAGAAAATATGTGTTAATTTTTATTACGGGAAGAAATACATATGTATCTATATGTAAGTCAAATTTTTTAAGTCGATTTTCTCGAGTTTTTTTATTTTTTAGGTGTGACAGTATTGAAGTAAATGAGCGTTATGTTCATTTTATTGGCATTCATATTTGATATCGAAGATAGTTTTCGACCGTTAGCCACATTGTTTATTGGGTAATTTCTTAACATTTTTCAATTTAACTAAGAGGACAATTTTTTACGATTTTTAAAAATTTGTTAATAAAGTTCTTAATACGTCGATACTTGTTGGTATGCGCGTAACTTACTCGCTACTTGTCAAAAAGTATTGAGATCTCGATACTCGATACTACTACTACTACTACTTATTAATTAAAAGTATCGGCCGATAGTCTGTGGTGTACGGTGGGTTGTCGTTGTTGTTGTAGCGGTGGTACGGTGGGTCTTAGTTTTTGGTGGAAAATGCTGGTCACTACTTGACCAGATATAAATCTGGGTAGTTCCGATCAGGAAAACCCGACTGTCGTGGAAGCGAAGGGTTGTTGGGAACACGTAAAGAAGCCCACCACTTCAGCTGTACGCTGGCTTATTCCTCCACTCCGAAATCGAGGACCCATTTAGATTTTGTTAGATGAAGTTCACGGAGAGCCACGGAACGAGATGTGCATCTTTACATTCTGCGTCCTTTAGCGTTTTAGAGCAACGGAGTAGCATGCAACTTTATATTGTTTTGTTATGTTATTTTATAAGAATCAAAATAGATGCTATTGGAATTTGGTGTGGGGAAATAAGCTATGCGAACTTACCACGGAATCAGGCCGGCATGTAACTTCTTTATTTTCTATGTTCTTTGCCGGTAGAGGAACGGAACGGGAAGTGCAGCTCCTTTATTTTTTTTTACACTTGATTGCAAGTATACACGATGATAGCGAATATTCCTAGCTTCTATCAGCAGTTATACGTCCTTCATGTTGTAAAACCGCTTCCATTTTGCTCAATTTCTCACATCTATGAAGTTTACTTCATTCAGCGGTTATCGGTGATTCCCTAAATAATATCTGCTTCTGCATTTGTTTTACCGACACATCTATTACCATCGAAATGTACTGAACAGAGCTTGATTTAGTAAAGCATCACCACCTTTTTATTTGCGAAAGCCGAAGCCGCCCATTCACAACCTCAAACTGCATTAGCAAATTTGTATTATTGGCATGTGAATATTTCGATATAAACCTCTACTCAAACTGATTTGAGTATTTTAAGATACTGATACTTAATTGTTTTGCATATTACCTAGAAACAAGATACGCTTACTTGGCCCAATTTTCTTACCAATATTTCTTCTTGGTCTTTTACAAATTAAACTCCCGTTTTCAAGCTCAAATTCTTCAAACGATTCTTACATATTTTAATTTTCTGCACTCATTAGCTTTTAGAACTAAATCAAACAAAACAATTCGCATTAATTTGTAGATATAAACACACAACTTGCCTAACGTCGCTAAAAATCGGAATTTGTAACTTTTTCAGGTATACATAGATCAACTTAGGGATGTGTTTCTTGAGCAGAAGTCAGATGAGAGTTCGCCCAGAGAATGTTGAAAAACGCTCTCTAAAAAATCAATTATTCACAATAAAATCGCAATTTATCGCCGTCTTCACGTGTTTGAAAATCTCGCTTGCGTCCTGTTCTTTTTTCGCAAGCCGGTTACTCTTACTGTACTAACTGTTGGAGCAGGTTTAAAGGTGACTCCATCCGTTACAAGTGTTGTACCTAAACGAAATGGAGCTCGGATGAAGTCGTCTCTAACAAATGCAGTCGAAGTAGGTTTCTCGTCCGGGGTTGAACTCAACGTCCGCCCGGAAATATGTGGAGCGATTTGGCTGTTGGGTATTGCTCTATGACGAAAAATTACTGATGGGGTTCGCCGATCTGAACGCCGTAACAAAAGCCCTTGTTAGGGAAAACCCCGAGTAATTTCCATGCGTAGAAGCAGCACTCATGGAAATGCGCCAAGATATATATTGACCAACCGAAAGAGCCGAAGACAACAACAGAAACTTTCAAATTGAAATGGGGAATCGAAATTTGGCAGTTTGAGGACAATGAGCATTAGGGCCAGTACCCGTTTAAACTTAGATTAAGTAAACTGAGTTTAAATTGAATAGCTGGCCGAAATTTGATTGGCTGTTCTTAGTTTAAACCTGCCAAAAAGGGCGTTTAAACTTTGTTTACACCACGGCCTTGCAATTCAAAACTGGCCCATAGAGTACGCCAATGTTGTACATATGTATATTCTTGCGCTAAATGTCAAATATTCGGAACTGCATCGTTGTATACCTTTACTGCCCTAATGTTACATACATTTCTGTGAATACATACATATGTATGTTCCTACGTATATCCAAGGTGCATCTATACAAGGTGGTGTTACTAGAGCAGCTTATTTGATATTTTTGTCTCTACAGTAGTATAGCAGAATGTCATCCAAGACGAAATGGCGAAAATTATCTCCTATTTTGTTTCCTTTTCACATCCTCATGTACCAAAAAGCAATAACAAAATGCACGGGATTTTTAGGTTGCAAACAGAGTGGAAGCGAAGCCGAAGATGAAGATGAAGACGAAGCCGTCAGCTTGAAACTGTGCGGTACTGTTTTCAAAGACGAATCACTTGCTGTGATGAGTTCTTTATTACATAGTCCAACAAGCGCTTCTTAACTCAAAAATGACAGCAGAAATGAGAAAGCAACACGCACCCACCTGGATTATGGGCAGCTGCTGCAGCTCGCCAGACAAAACGATAGTCAGCGCTGGCCTGATAAATAGCGTATCATGGCGACCTTGGACCATCTGCCCATTGTCATCTCGATCGATAAACCAACCGGATTCGCTTCCGCGAAACACCGGACCTATGTAAACTTTTCCAAAGCGGATTGGAAAGGCTTCGCGGAATTTACTGAGAGCACTTTCGCTGCGCCCGCCACACCAGCCGACGTCCACCTTGGTGAACGTAAGTTCCGCAGGGTTGTCACTGCTGCTGCAGCTCGCTTCGTACCGGCAGGATGCATTACGGACCCCCGTCTAAACTTCCCTGCTGAAGTGGCTGTTCTAGCCAATGAGCGTAACAACCTTCGTTAGGCCGATCCCGGAAATCCCCGTATCAGGGATCTCAACGGGGAAACCAGCCAGCAAAGGAGAATATTATCGTCTGATAATAGCGAAGACACTTGAGGCCTTGCCACGAACCACCAGACCCCAGCGAAGCATCAGCATGGTTTCCATAAAATGCACAGTACAACAGCAGCACTTAACGCCATAAACACGCGGACAACACGTGACTTAAACCACAATCGTCCCTGTGAGAGAACTATTCTAGTAGCGTTGGACCTGTCAACGGCGTTTGACACCATCAGCGACTCCTCGTTGCTAGAAGACATAGAGGCCTCATCTCTCCCACATAGGCTCAAACGGTGGTCATCGAATTATCTAATTGGTCGACACTCGTCAGTAATGTTTAGAGACAAATCAAGAAAACCTAGAAAAATAAAACAGGGGGTTCCACGGGGTGGTGTCCTTTCCCCATTACTGTTAAACTACTATATTTCCAAGTTCCCTCAACCACTAGAGGGAGTCTCAATTGTCTCCTATGGAGACGATTGTTCGATAATGACGTCTGGGAATGGAATTGATGACTTGCGTTTGAAAACGGGTATCTCTCCGAGCTTTCTCGCTTCTTCACAGCTAGGAGCCTAACTTTCTCCCCTACAAAATCCTCTGCGACCTTGTTCACCACCTGGATGAAGGAGGTCAGACTACTGCTGGGAATTCACGTCGATGATACACCAATTCCGACGGTGAATAATGCCAAAATACTCGGAGTAACCTTCGACAGTTTGCTCCCCTATTCTGCACATGCAACCGCTATTGTCAACAAAGTACAGAGCCGCAACAAGGTTCTCAAGTCGCTAGCGGGCAGTACTTGGGACAAAGACAAACAAACGTGTGGTCGCTGCGGACTAGTAGGACGCAGTGGATGGAGCTGCAGAAGACTGAAAACACTGCACTTCGGACAGCGACTGGATGCCTTCATATGTCGTCAGAACACACCTGCACGACGAGGTAAAAATGCTCCCCATAAAGGAGCACAACACAATGCTATGCAAGCAGTTTCTAGTAGGGAGCCACAGACCAGGTCACCTAAAGAGACAACTGCTTGCAGAAGATCCCTCGCCCAGGCACGTCAGGAGGCATCTCTACGAAATGGCGGACGAAGTCCAGAGGTTAATTAAATAATTTCTGGACCCGTGAGCTTATCGACTGGCCCTGAGCGGCATTCACAGGGAGTCAGTCTCGAGTTATGTAAACTCCAGAGCTATGAATGCCTACGGACATCGACGAGATGGAGTTTCATCTGCCTCGGCAGACTCAGACCACAATAGCCCAACTTCGCTCAGGCTACTGCAGCAGGTTAAACTCATACCTGATCAGATTGGACGCAGATGTGTCCGGCATTCGTAGAGACACCCTAGGACTCGAAACATCTCTTCGTATGCCCAGAAAACGCGACAACGCTAACGCCTTTGTCCCTGTGGACCGAACCATTTAAACTGCACGCTTGTTAGGGCTTCCGTTGGTTGAGCTTGACGACAACGACAGATATTAACCGATCTAGGCGGGGTTTTTGTAGCCGCTACAACAGCAACAACACTCAGTGAGAGTGACTCTCTTCAGTGCGAAGTAGTCAGATTTAGTCAAAAGAATTTTTGCTGCCAAAATCTTGAATGTTTCAAACTCAACTGACTTCAAATTAACGGAAATTAAAGAATACATGAAAAGTGAGAATAATGTGGAAACTAAAAAAAGTTAATTGAAAATGGAAGGAGGCAAAAAATTAATGATGTAGTAAGTGGTTATTGCGCTTGTGCTTGTTTGTATGGTGTTTACCACTGACCCAAACACTCATCTCTCAAGCAAAGAGCGTTTCCCACTGTGGCATATCATTCTGTGCGATCTTTTGCGTTTTCCGTTGTGGGTTATTTATCAACTGCTTAAATTTCCCTTAGGCAAAGACACTTTGGCAGGGACTTTTATTTTAAAGTATCTTAAGACTGTGTTTATACACGGAAACTTTTGTCGACGCGATTTTGCACATTCCCTTTTGGTGTTGCTCGTTTCATTTACACACGGCGATTTGTGTGTATGCAATTATTGTTGTCGGCTGGGAACAGCGGTTCAATTTACACAGACGAACGAGAGTACAAAGCGTGTTGCCCGAGCACGAGCAACTCGGTGCCCCTCTCCTTTCCTCGTCACGCTCTCTCCTACAAATGTCGAGTTACGGCAACAAAAATCGTCGTGTGTAAATGAGCACTAATTTGTGGGTTATTGTAAGACTGAAAAATATAAGTGGCCACACATAACTGGAAGCAAAGCGTAATTGCCCAGTTATGCATACTTGCACTGCTATACCATTTATACGTAAAAACCAAAACCCAACAGAATTAAAGGCTCTGTTATGCATACTTGGCATTGCATGCACTGCTATACCATTTTTACGTAGAAATCAAAAACCAACAGACTTTTACGTATGTAATGCTGTGCGTTGGGTAATCGCTTACACGCGAAGCTCATTTAACAGATTCCTTATGTGACAACTCTCAAGCAATGCCAAGTATGCATAACAGAGCCTTTATACATGTTAAGTGCTATGCGTTGGGTAACCCCTCACACGCAAAGCCCGTTTAACCGATTCATACATATGTGACAGGTTAGGCATACGTACGTACATATACGTACGCATGCATGTGCGAACATTTATGATAAAGAGAGCGTGCACATTCATAATATGATATACCGAAAATAAATTATTTTATTTTATTGATAAAGAAAAGGATAAAGGCAAAGGTAACAAGTAAGAAAGTCTAAGTTCGGGCGGAGCCGAACATTAAATAATACCCTAATTTTCGAAATATTCAAGTTTAAAGCATTTCTGAAATTTACCGTTATATGAAAAGCCGTACTTTTAGTCCGGTTTCAATAATTTTGAACGTTTTGCTTTTATGTGGCAAGCACAATAACCGTACCGAGTGTGGTAGAACGGTTACCGAGATACATATATGTGATCATAAGTGGGCGGTGTCCAGCCCATTTTTCAAAATTTTATCATAAACGTATTTCTTGGTAAAGAATTGTTGCAAGCGTCAATTTTGAATAAATTAGCTTTAATATTTACTGATTTATCGAAGATTTCGTATTTCTGCAAATTACCGTTATATGGGATGTGGCCGTGGTTATTGTCCGATTTTTAAAATTTGGTATCCCGTACCGAGGCCAATAACCGTGCCAAGGTTGGAAAAAATCGGTCCAGCGGTTGTTAAGATATACACATGTAACCATAAGTGGGCGTGGCTACGCCCATTTTTAATAAATTTATAATATTCTTATTTTTCGTCTAAAAATTATTGTAAGTATCAATTTTGAGTGAATAATCTTCAGTAGTTACTAAAATATCGC